GTCAACATGCATTGAGGATTCATGCAAAGGCTTCCCCCCCAAAAGACTCTTGTCAGCCTATTCGGGTAGAGCAAGCAAATATAACCTCAAGGTTAATCAAGGATTCTCTATAGTATCCAACAATGACTATGAAGTGTGCACATTATGCAAAAAGCTCTTACCAGTTGTGATTCTCTATGGCAGACAATTGCTCTAAAAGCAAAGCCATTCAAGATATTAGAAAAGGTTATCCAAGAAAAGAAATCTCTTTTTTGAGATAAGGCTGACTGAGCCACAAATACAAATTGTATTGGGTGTTAAATAATCAGGGTAAATGCAGAGCAAAAAATCTCTTGAAACTGACTCAAGCTGATTGAGCAAAAGCCAAGCTGCCCTAGACTCAAGGCCACAAACCGACCACCACTTTCAAAACTGACAAATTTTCTTTATTTGATTGCAAGAAAGTTTTCGAGGAGCTCACTGTTTTTTGATTCGTCACCGAAAAAAAATTTGCACCGGAAAAAATGGGGTCTTTGAAATTTCAACTACCATTTTCAGTTTATATTCGTTTTTCTTTCTTTTGCTCTTCCTCCTACACATAAATTACACTTTCAAGATTTTTTTTTATATATAAAGCAAAACACACTTAGATCGGGACAAAAATTTGTCGTCGAAATTTTTTTTTTCGCCGGAAAAAATAGAGTCCTTGAAATTCCGACGACCACCATTTTATGCCACCGGTGAACAAAACAAAAATAAAAAGAATAAAATAACAAAAAATGAGAATAATAAGAAATAAGAAAAAAAGATAAGAAAAAGAAGAAAGAATAAAAAAAGTACTAAATATACATGTGGCAGCGCGTGTAGTTCACCACTTGTCAAGAGTTTGGTTGTCTAGTTTTAGGGTGGTATTTATTCCATTTAAAAAAAGTTTAGGGGGTAATAAGATTCCCGCAAAGATAAAGTGTGTAGTTGGAAATCCGGGTATAGGTCAGGGGGTACTTATGCATTTTTCCAAATAAAAACCTACTTTAATTAGCGGTACAATTATAAATTTATATAAAAAATATATAATTTTATTAAAAAAAATAAAAATCGATTCAATAGGGTACAATTTAGTTGATTTTTAAATATCTATTGACACTCTCGTTAACACCAAATTGTTACTCAATATTTTGAAAGGAAAATATATAGTCCTTTTGCTATTGTTCGAACCCAAATCTGAATCTATTTTAATTATTCTTTTCTTTTCTTTCCTACAACTTAAAGGGCAAAATTAAAAGTAAATAGGGCAACTTCTAGTTGGAGTACACAAACTGAAGAATACCACTGCCGCCTCCATCCCATATTCAGACGTCCTTCGAGGTATCTTCTTCTCCTTTTCTGCTTTTATTTTCCTTTCTTTTCATGCTGTTTATGGCTGTGATTAATGAAGACTTACAGTGAATTGTTATTGTGAGCCCCTAATTTTTGCCCCACATAGGAAATTACTCCTAAAAATAGTCCAAAATAATTTTATTGTTGTTATAGAGTTTTAGAAGTTTTTCTTCTTCTTTTATTTATTTTGTATTTATTCGCATTGTTTATGCATGTTAGGAATATCGTAAATCATAAAAAATATTCAAATCTTAATTTCATAGTATTTTAGATTTTAAATTGCATTTTTAGGATTTTGTTACAGATTAAGCGCATAATTAATACATGAAATAAAGAAATACACATCAATCATTCTTGCTTCGTTTTTGCATTTTTAGATTCAATTAGTTAAATAGGTCATTTTTGCAAAATCAATTTGAAATTGGGTGTTTTAATTAATGGGTTAAGTTTGAAATACAAAGAAAGAAGAAAATGGGGTTTGTTTGTTCTTCATTGCAATTGGGCCAGGGCATTTGCATCGACTCAGTTACCAAAATGACCCAAAATTTCCCTAGCCCATCTCCCTAACTGGCCCAACCGGATCCCCCTCTCATAAAAACAACCATTTTCCAAAACCCTAAGGGGATAGACAACAGATCCCTTCCCGCTTTTTAGAAAACCCTAAGCAGCCTTCCCCTTATCCATCTTGATCCTCCTAGCAGCCGCCGTTGTTGATTCCTCTCACTCATACACACTACTCCCTTTCACACACGCTTAGGCCTCTAGTAATAGCTTGAAATCACAGAGTTCAGATCTGAAATTCAAGGTTACAAAGTTGGGTTCAATTTCAATTCGTTTTTTACATTTTTTGGGGAATTTCAGAGTTTAGTGAAGCTATAGAGCTTGTTTCGAATCTGGAAGAAAGAGAAATACACGGATTCCTGCATCTTTGAATACAAAAAAATCTCATACAAAAAATAGGAAAAATCAAGAGCAAAACTGTTTGAAGTTGCCATTGCCTTGTTTTCTCATTTTTCTGGGATTCTGAAGTTTGTGCCGATTATATGTTGTTGCATCTGTTGTATCTACTTTGCCGAGCTCTTCGGACTGATTTGCTACCCTTATTTGGCTCATATTAACATCTTCCTTGCTCAAGTAGGTCAGTCTGAACTCCTTTGTATTTATGGTTTCAGTGGATAATCAAAATTACTAGCTCACAGCTTGATTTCTGTTGATCTGTTATATTCTGAATTTCTGTCATTGTAGTATGTGATAGCTGTATTCGAATATGTATCACATAGTGACCCTGAGGTATGCAATTGTTAAGGATGATATGATTTGAATCACACTTTGACGATGGATACATGATTAAATCAGATTAACCTCCTTATTTAGAGTTACTGTTGTTTTGTCATTAAGTCACCTCAGGTTTATTGTATGTTTATCAGCTCAAACTTGGTCGTAAAGACGATTGAAATATCAGCAAGCATGTTGAATACGAGATAGCGTGTAAAACTTTGTTTGGATAATGAATTTTGCAACTGCACTGTCTAAACATAGTGTAATGGAAGTTTGAAGTTCAAGAATGACTGTAATTCATTAGGATGGTTATTTGTGCAATATTGAATTGATGTTTAAATCGTTGCGGTGATCTGATCTGATTTGTGTAATAAGAATGAACACTTTGGGCGTTAAGATTGGCTCAAAATGCCACAAGTTGAAATGATTAGAATAACTCTCTCACGTTTACCATTATTTTTTTTTCTTTCCATAATCATTCACAAATAATCTCAAAGTTAGCCTAAAATAGTAACTTATAAATATTCGTAGAATGCTTTAGACGCGTTTTAATCTATTATCGTGATTGTGTACACGCTCGCGTGACATAATTATGATTCCCAAAATAAATTAAGGTACGCGTTTGCGCGACCTTGACCAAACAATCTTGATAATAATAAAGTGTTATTAATTGTGTACACGTACGTGTGACATGATTCTTAACCAACCAAACAAAACGAATACACGTACACATGATTCATTTCAAGATAATTCCACAATTAAGAATAATTGAGCAATAAAAAGCGGTAAAAGGTGCATCCAAGGGTGTGGCCTAGTGGTCAATGAAGTGGGTGAGAACCATAAGGTCTCAGGTTCAAATTCCAGCGCAGGCAAATATTAGGTGATTTCTTCGCATCTATCCAAGCCTTGGTGGATAGAGTTATCTGATACCTGTTGCTGGTGAGAGGTGGCAGGTATCCCGTGGAATTAGTCGAGGTGCACGCAAGCTGGCCCGGACACCACAGTTATAAAAAAAGTGGTAAAAGGTAAAACGCACATAGGTTCTAAAACACGTAATAATCCGTTAATTAAGCAAGGTATATGATTGTAAAGCGATCGTGATAAAACCACGGAATCCGAGATTGCGTAACACCTTCTCCCGGATTAACAGAATTCCTTACCCGGTCTTCTAGTTTCGCAGACTTTAGAACGGAGTCAAGTTTCCTCGATTTGGGATTTTAAAAATCGGTGGCTTGTGACACCATAATAATTATCCTAATTGGTGACTCTGAATTTAATAAATAATCCCATTTTGATTAATGTTACTTCAATTGAAAAAACTCCCTTATCCTCTCGGGAAAAAAGAGGTGTGACAGTTATTTGTTAATATGTTGTTGAGTTATACACGAGATCAATTTTGTCCTTTAAATGGTACAATTCATCTTTCTTATCTTAGGTAACTTCACATTGGATTGTTTTTTTTTCCTCAAATAAAAAAAAGTAAATTTACATTGGATGCTAAATGCCTTTTAATGAGCTATTTGATAATCATAGATGGCTTAGATAAAGTATGAGAGTTACGAACTCCATCAATAAGTTAATATTGAATATATTTTGCTTCGTAAGTCATTTTTTTTAATCTTCCCAATAAATTTGCTGTTTTGAGTATTGAAAAGTTGAAGGGAAATATCCAGAGTCGATTTTTGTGAGAGATTGTTTATTTGTCATGGAAAATAAAGAGGATTATTAAATGGACTTGAATAAAAAGAAAGAAATTGGGAGAAAGATTACTTTTCGGTTTGCTTTAAGTCCCTTTTCAGTAACGTGATTCAGTTTGTTGATTTGAAGTTACTGTCTTAATAGAATCAACTGTGGAGAACCGCTAAATGGAAGAATCCAAAGAGGAAGCGAAGTCTTTCAAAGAATTGGGAGTTTCTGATCAACTGATTGAGGCTTGTGATAATTTGGGTTGGAAAACTCCTTCTAAAATACAAGCTGAAGCTATTCCTCATGCCTTTGAAGGTTTTTTCAATCTTCCCATCTTTATGTTTTTCATCTTTTCCTTTGCGTATGTTATCTTTCTTGCTTATCTTTTACCTGTTTTCTCCTTATAAATATGATATTTCAAGTGGATTTAAGCTATGTGCTAATAATTAAAATAGGTTTAAAGTTCTAAGCTGATTATGCTAGTGTGTTTTAGGTTGTGGGGTTGAAACTTCCACTATCCTATTTTGCTCGTGGTAGCAAAACATCTGAAGACATGATTTTGTGGAAGCCATTGTTTGAGAAGTACTGGAAAATTCTAGCTTTATGATAATAGAGAAGTGCGAAATAGAGACATAACATTTTGTTGTAGAGCAAATTTATGGAGAGAGGTAATTAAGTGTTGGGATGAGTTGTGAACTAGGAATCTTCCCTTTTTGGCTACTCGGACGGTGTAGATTCAGATTGTTATAAATTAAAGGGTAACTTTTGAAAATGTTAAACACTAGTCCTG